CCATTTCCTTCCAAAGACTGTGAGGACAAATCTGTTTCATGTCTCTCCTCCAACTTGAGGTGGTTTGCTGGCAAACTTTGGTGTTGCTTGGCTTGTAGATACGTCACCCTAATCTCTACCTTTGTCTACAGCACTCTTTGTGTGCTGTGTCGAATTTTCCTTTTTTGTGAGGACACAAGTCATACTGGATTAGCGACCCACCATACTCCAATGTGACCCCCTTTTAATTACATCTGCAATGACTATTTCCAAGGAAGGTCACATTCTGAGGTGCTGGAGGATAGGACTTTAACGTAGGAATTTTTGGAGGACATAATTCAATTCACAGCAGATCACTTAGCAGTTAACATTAAATACCAAAACTGTTTAATTCTTTTGCTAGGGAAACTCAGTTTGTGCTAAAATTTCGAATCAAAATGTTTGCATTCGGGAATATCATAGACTCTGAACTCTGATCCCTTTTACTGGATAGGAACAGAGTTCTCAGTGTCAATTATGGAGAAAGGCATTAATGTTTGGGGTGCTATTATAATCCTCGAAATAATTTGTATTGTTAAAAACCTGTTACTTTTTTTTTTTTTTCTTTAGACAGAGTCTCAGTTCATCCATTACCCAGGCTGGAGTGCAGTGGCACGATTTTGGCTCACTGCAATGTCCACATCCTGGGTTCAAGCAATTCTCAAGCCTTAGCTTCCTGAGTAGCTGGGACTACAGGTGCGCACTACCATGCCAGGGTAATTTTTGTATTTTTGGTACAGACAGGGTCTCAGCATATTGGACAGGCTTATCTCAAACTCCTGACCTCAAGTGATCACTTGAGTGATCACTTGCTTCGGCCTACCAAAGGAATGAGCCACTGCACTTTTACTTTTAAGCATGCATTTAATAAAGTTTTATTTAATCTTTCGTTGGTGATGTTGAGATATTTAATTCTATAATGGGGAAAGTTACATAGGAGCTAGAAATTCTGGGAATTATGTACAGGTTCTAAAATATTTTGACATTGTATACTCCTAGGTTTCTTTGCTTCAAAAGTTTAAACACTGATTGGAGCAATTTTTCCATCAGCACCGCTTCTCTGAGAAGTTCCCTTTGCACACTGTTTTATAGCAGGTGGAAGGAATTCTTTGATGTTCTCAGGCTGTAAAGCATACTGATTACCACCAAAAGTGCTTCAGGGCAACCTTTATGCTCTTGCCAAGTTCTCACAGGGAGAGAATTAAGTGAGAAGCATGGGTGATGGGGAGGAGATAAACACAAGAAAGGTAGTTAATTTTTTTTTTTTTTTTTTTTTTTTTTTACGAATAGAAGGTCAAGAAAATACAATATTTCACCAAGTAATAGAGAACAAAATTAAAATATTTTGCTATCTGGAATTTCAGTTTTTAAAATTTGAAGTGAAATCTGTTATGCTTTTTGTTTAGCTCATTTTCACTTCAAAGCCTTTTGCTAGAGCACACAGAAAACCTCAATTCTATTGTTTTCCTATTCCCCAGAGGGTCTTCCCTGCTCCTCTTAGGTGAACATGCTCACCACCTCCTAGATCAGATCATCACGCTTTTGCCTTGAAGTTTTCTTCCCAGCCACACCCTATGTTGGAATGTCCCCTATGTGCTGGACGATGTCTTACCGATAATCAAAAGATTTTCCAAAATTTCAACTCGCCAAGAAACTTTCCTAGAATATTGGAAAAGTGTCATTCTTTTTAATATTGACATCCCTTATTATATTTATTATATTTTATGGACTTAGTTTGTGCCTTTGATAACCGCTTCTTAATCCTTCTACATCATAATGAAAATTAACAGGGGATTTGATTTATCTTGACAAAGTGAAATTTAGTAGAATTAGAATGGCATAGGTTTTGAGAGAATGGATTCTAATATCAAATAGACCAGTGTTCAATTATTAATAAGTTGCTAACTTCTCAAAACCTTAGTTTCCTTATCATTAAAGTGAGTATCAGTAAAGTGAGAATAACAGTCATTCTTCCTTAGCATCATTGTTTTAAGGATTAGAAGAGAAAATCCATGTAAAACATTTGGTTCAAAGCCTGACACAGAGCAAGGACCCAAGAGTGTCCTATAAGGGAAATAACACTTTACCTAGAGTCAAAACACTTGAGTACTGGCTCTGTAACTGGGCAGGTAACTAGACTCTTAGAACCTCAGTTTCTTTCTGCATAAAATAAGGATAAAGCCAGTTTTGTGTACTGATAAATGTTAAATCTCTGGCCCTGGAACTTGGCTTAGGGAGAGGCCTTTATTTGTAGCATTTGCCAGTTTGTATGGTGGTGTTACTGCTCCGTGGCCCATTTCAAACACCAATATGAAGCCTGGATATAGAGTTAGGAATAGATGTGCGCAATCATCTCTCATTCGCCACCTAAAAATTCCCTCCACAAAGATATTTATGTTTCAGTGAGACTATGTATTCGTGAAAGGACTCAGTATAATTGTCATTCACAAAAAGTTTAATTGTGCTTGGAAAAGTCTATTACATGGGTAGAGTTAGTGAGAGTAGAATTAGCTGTGATGGAGAAAGCAGATTGAATGTTTTCATTTTCATGACAGTTCTGGCAAGTTTCAACATTAAATACCCAGTGAGGCCAGGCAGGCAACACCAACACAGAAGTGGGATGAGGAGAAACCTACTGCCTGCTTAAATCTTCATGGGGCATCTAATAGATATCTCATATTTATCAGCAGCCCCTCCTCACCCTGCATGTGTGTTCTCCAGCGTTCCTCGTATCTGAACAGGCGCTACATTTTCTTAGTTATTTGGGACAAGGCCCTCGGAGGCCTCTTGTGCTCCTCTTTTTCTTTCACGTCCCGCATCTGATCCCTCCACAAATTCTTTTGGCTCTGCCTTCAAGATCATTTAAAGTTTGACCAGTTCTCATCTCCCTCTACTGCTATTCCTCTAGCCTGAGCCACTTTAACTGGTCTCGCTGCTGTTCTTCCCAGAGCTACCAGAAGGATCCTTTTAAAATGAAGGAAAGATGGCATTATTCCCACCTTCCCTTTCTGATGTGCTTGTTCACATCACTTTTAGCATCTTGGCCTCTATATTGTTTCTTCCTATCAGGCACACTTCCTCTCCAGAGCCGTTGTTCTTGCTCTTCCCTCTTTGCCCAGATCCTTGATTTGCATGGCTTACACATCATCTCATATGGCTCTTGGCTAAAAGTCACCTCCTCAGAGAAGCCTTCCCTGACTACCCAATCTAACATTTATTAACTGCTTTATTTTTCTCAGAATTTAGCACTGGTTGTCATTAGAGGGGATGTGAATTCATTCATTTAAGTTCTGTCGTCTCTATTAAATATAAACTCCGTGAGTGCAGGAACTTAATTTTCATGACTGCATTTGGTAGAGCCTCATGTAAGTTTCCTGGCATACAGTAGGCACTCAATACAGTGAGTGCCGTCTTTCGTTTAAAGAAATAATGAATTTCTTGTATTATTTTTGTACTTGAAGTTCTAATCATTTTGTGTAGAGTTCTGCTATGTCCAAATGAAAAAACTTACGTTGCTCAGATATTCTCTTGATCAGTTATTGCCCAATTGATCTATCATGTTTTTAATAAGTTGCATTTAATGTTCCCATTGTGATTATGTTTTTGATATTTTCTCTTTGTAATTCCAGTCAAGTTTGGCCTTTAAGGTAAGTATATACTGGCTAAGGATTGTTTTATCTTTCTAGTGATTTGTTCATTTTATCTTTAGATATATGGCCGTTTTAATCTAGTGATACTATTTGCCTTTAAATGTATTTTGATTGGTATTAATATTGTTCCGTATCTGATTGGTATTTATCAAATATATTTTCCTTGGTTTTCAAACTGTTTTTTATAGACAAATTTAATCCTATTGCTTTTATTGTGATTTTTATATAGACTTATTTCTATGATTTTATTTTGTGTTTTCTATTTACTGTGATTTTTGCTGATCTTTTCCTACTGTTGAGTTTTTTCTAATTCTATTTTTTCCCCCCTCCTATAGGCTTAGAAATTACAAATTGCATCTCTCTTTCTCTTTTAAAAATGCTTATCCTTGATTTGGTTGTCTTGAAGTTAATCACTGTTTTTACGCTTCTGTGTAATATATAAGGACCTTAGGGCACTTTATTCTGATCACCTTCCTCCTACTCTCTGTAGTATGGTTTATTTCATCTTGTTTTTAAACACACCCACATTAGTCATTTTGTTTACATAGTCAGTGTTTCCTTAGACCTAACTTGTTTGTTGATTTTTTTACTCATTGTTGCTTCTAGCTTCCTACTCCTTCATTTTGAATTCTTACTCCCCACCAACCCCATACATTCTTTACATTCTCTAGTTGTTTTTTCAGGGATGATATATAAGCAGGAAATCCTTTTGGTCTTTATTTGAGAATCTATGTATAGTACCTTCATTCTTGATTAGTAGTTCAGTTAGGTGTAAAATTCTATAATGTAGCCCATTGAAGGTAGCATTTTATTGTTTTCTGACTTTTGTTGTTGATGAAAATTCTTCTCTCAGTTTAATTTTTGTCCCTATTTAGGTAAGCTGTGTTTTCTCTGTGGTTATTTTAAAATTATCTCTGTCTTCCTATTTCTGCAGTGCCTTATTTAGTGTCTTTACTGCCTGGAACCTGGTTTGCCTCCCCAGCTCAAGGACTCTGATTTTTATTTTTATTTGTTTGTTTGTTTGTAGAAACAAAGAGAGAGAAACTGGAGAAGAAGAGAGAAAGAAACAGCTAACTCTCACAGTGAGTGACAGAATCCAGAAAGATGGAATCGAGGAAAGGAAAGCAGCCTCCACACTGAGTGGAAGGGAATGAGAGAGAGAGAGATGGAGTTTAGGAGGGAAGACAGGCTATGAGAGACATACAGTGGTTTTTTTTGTTGTTGTTGTTTGTTTTTTTTGTTTGTTTTTTTGTTTTTTTTTGTTTTTTCAAACAGAATTCTCTTTACTACATTACAGAAGATGATGTAAAGTCAATTTTGTTAGTTTCCATATTACATATTGAAAGAATACATCACCAGAATGCTGGATTCAGTTATATTTCTCACCTTAAGTACTATGCTTGCGTTGTCACACATCACACAGGAGATAAAGCCATGTGGTGCATGATCACGCCATGTATTGTCCAGGTGACAGCAGCTCCTGAGGTATGGAGGGCAGCCTCCCTCTTCCCACAGGTACAGGTGCACAGAGTCTTCAGATGTGGTGAGCACATAGAGAGCATCCACCCAGAAGTTGTCGATGGGCGTCTGGTGGTCCTGAAATCGTTGCAGCAGGAGGCCAGTGATACTGAAGAGGAGCAAGTATGGCCCACTGGGAAAGACAACCAGATATCCATCACTGGCTCCTATCCAGAAAGGGCACTTCAGATGAGGTGCCAACTGGAAATGTGAGATCTCATATGCTTGGACAACTGTTCGGTCTCCGTTCCTCTTGATTGTTAGATCAAAGGTGATAATTTCTGTCTTTTTTCCGCGGCCATTTTCGGACATCAGTGTTATCCTATTTTTCTTCTTTGGGTTCCAGCAGGCGGTGGTACAGAATTTATGTGGGAGAAAGGTAGACAGAGGAGCGCTGCCTTCTGATGGTCTCAGTAAGTCCTCTGCGAGGAATACCTGTGGAAAGGCACAACTGTATGTCCCACATGCAAACACCCATTTCTTGTCAGGAGAGCAGCGTAGAAGTACAGTAGCTATGAGAGAGTGTGGAAGGGGACTCCAGAGGGCTAATCCAGGAGAGAGAAAGATGGCTTCCATGAAGGGAATGTTCATGGAAGGGACCCAAACACGGAATCCTAAGGACTCAGATTTTTATTAAATTCTGGACAATTCTTATCTTCCAGATATTTCCTCTCCATATTGTCTGTTTAATCTCTCCTTAGTAAAAACCTTGTTAAATGTATTTTAGATCTCATTCTCTAAGCCTTTTTACCTTTCATATTTTCTATTTCTTTTTCTCTTTGCTGTGTTTGAGTGATTTCCTCAAATCTTTCATACATTTCTCATCAATTCTGTCCAATCGACTCTTTAAGCCATCCATTGACTTTTCAGTTCAATGACCATAGTTGTTGTTTTTTTTTTTTTCATTTGGTTCCTTTCACATCTGCTTATTTTGTTTTTTATAGTATGTTCTATAACACTGTAGTCGCTTTCATATTGTTCTATTATATCTACTTGTTAGAGTGGTGCAAATTCTCCCATCTATTTGGTCTGCTGACTCTCTGTCATTGTGGTGGATTTCCTTGTGTGGTTTCTAATTGCCTACTGTCAATGCATCTTTAGCAGGGAGTCTGGTGCACCTTGGCTTGTGCACTACCAGTGTTTCTACAGAGGGGTTTGCATTTACTTTTGTTGGGATTCCAAAGTTAGCTGTGGAGTAACTTTTGGGCTTTGAGTTCCTGAACCATACAGCTAGTATAACCTCTATTTTCGTTATGTGTTTCTGACTTAGGGTTGCAATGTCTTTCAAGAGATTTTTTGGACAGATGGCAAGCTTTCTTGACAAGTTTTTTGGGTTAGTGGGAGGAACTTGTTCTTGTTTTATTGATAGGACTCAGCTTTATAAAAGAGTACTGTATTGTAGCTCTCTGACCCAAAAAGGCTGATACCATAAAAAGTGCGCTCACATGGACATTAAAACACTTTAATAGTCAAATCCTATGTCAGGATTTTTGTGCTGCTGTGGTGACAATTGAAGTTTATTTCCGTTTTGAGCTTCTTTTTTATTTGAGGCATTGGAATATTTCCCTTTATTCTCACCACCCCATCTTAACTATTTATTAAAAAGGAAACTCTGTATTTGGCCCAGTGTTTCTGTTTTAGAAGAAGAGTATCTTCCGTGTCAACTTTGTCGTATGAAAGGTCACTTCTCATATCTTCACATATTTCCTTGCCTCTATATTCTTTCCCCATATCCAAATTTTGCTTTTTGAAAAAATAGTCTTTCTCATAGTAAAATATTTGCTTATACAGAAAACTGTAGGCCCAGATGATTTCTCAGAAGGTCTTTATCAGGTATTCAAGGAAAAATAATTATAATTGTACAGAACTATTTCCTGGCAATAGAAAAAAGGTGATACTTCCCATTAGGCTAGCATAACCCTGGTACTAAATATCTGATATGGATACTACAAGAAAGAAAAATTACAGGTCAACTTCCTTTATAAACCTAGAGGCAAACATTTCCAAACATTTCCAAATCAATATTAGCACACCAATCCAGCAATATATAAAAAGAAGCAGATATAATGACCAGGTTGTTTTTATCCCAAGAATAAAAAGATTAGTTTAACACTAGAAAATAAATAATTATAATATGTTAGTGGCTAAAAAAAGAAAAATCATATAATCATCTCAATAGTTACATAAATAGTAATTGATATAATTATAGATTCATTTATTGCCAAAGAAACAAACAATTCTTAGCCAACTAGGAATATAAAATAACCTATTTAATTTAAAAATAATTCTTAAAAAAACTCAAAAGTAATTATTATATTTTATGGTTATACTAGAGTTTTTCCCTTTGGAATTGCAGTGAAGATAAAAAATAGCATAAGGAAAGTTTAACCCTGGTGAATCTATACCAATGGCTCAGTTTTCGTTTCCAGTATCACTTGTGGCATCTGTTTTTCTTATGATTAGTCTAGAGCAGTGTTTCTATTGGGAGGAAACTGCTTTTGGTTTTGTTGATCATCCCTAATTTTTTCTTTACTGATTTATTAATTTGTGACTCTATTTTTATTATTTTTTAGCTTCTCCTTTCCTTAGTTTTCTTCTCTTGTTCTTTTCTAACTTTAAAACTTAAATGTTTATTTTTACCTTTCTAATGCACAGATTTAAAAGCTTTTAACTTCATCATACATTTATTTTCATGAGTCATTTTGGTTCATCTTAAAGTTTTGATCTGTTGTATTTTCGTTGTCATTTGATTCCAAATACTTTGTAATTTCCATTGTAATTTCTACTTTAACCATTTCTTCCTGTTTTTTTTCCCTTCTCTTTTCTGTGCCAAATTTTATTTCGGAGAATAAGGCTCAGTTGCATAAAATTTCAGGAAAACATAAAATTAAGCTTTCGAAGTAGATTTCATGGCTCCGCTCTTTATTATTGACTTATGAAGAAGTACATTTTGTATCATTGTTTGAATCTGATAGCATTTCCATGATTGAACTTTTGACTGCAAAATTGAATAGCAGTATAGTCTATTTTGAGCAATTCTTTTTTTTTTTTTTTTTTAATTGTACTTTAGGTTCTGGGGTACATGTGCAGATCATGCAGGATTGTTACATAGGTACATACATGGCAAGGTGGTTTGCTGCCTCCATCCCCCATCACCTGTATCTGGCATTTCTCCCCATGTTATCTCTCCCCAACCTCCCTACTCACTGCTGCCCCTCCCCTAGCCCTCCCAACAGACCTCAGTGTGTGATGTTCTCCTCCCTGTGTCCATGTGTTCTCATTGTTCAACACTTGCCTATGAGTGAGAACATTCGGTGTTTGAGTTTCTGTTCTTGTGTCAGTTTGTTGAGAATGATGGTTTCCAGATTCATCCGTGTCCCTACAAAGAACACAAACTCATCATTTTTTATGGCTGCATAGTATTCCATGGTGTATATGTGCCACATTTTCCTTATCCAGTCTATCACTGATGGGCATTTGGGTTGGTTCCAGGTCTTTGCTATTGTAAACAGTGCTGCAGTGAACGTATGTGTGCATGTGTCTTTATAACAGAATGATTTCTAATCCTTTGGGTATATACCCAGTAATGGGATTGCTGGGTCAAATGGAATTTCTATTTCTAGATCCTTGAGGAATTGCCACACTGTCTTCCACAATGGCTGAACTAATTTACACTCCCACCAACGGTGTAAAAGTGTTCCTGTTTGTCCATATCCTCTCCAGCATCTGTTGTCTCCAGATTTTTTAATGATCACCATTTTAACTGGTGTGAGATGGTATCTTGATGTGGTTTTGATGTGCATTTCTCAACCGTTTCTTATTTAAAAGTGTGGTTTTTAGTAAGAATGGGATATCAGCTTACACCTGTAAGGATGGCTGCTATCAAAAAGGTGAAAGATAACTCTCGGTAAGGATGTGGTGGATAGGGAACCCTTGTACATTGTTGGTGGGAATGTAAATTAGTACAACCACTATGGAAAACGCTGTGGGATTTCTCAAAAACCTAAAAATAGAATTACCAGCAATAATAATAGGATAGAGTAAATCTGTTACTTGTCATACATTTATTTTCATGAGCCATTTTAATTCATCTTAAAGTTTTGATCTGTTGTATTTTTGTTGAATACAACAAATTCTGTTCTATTATTATTGCTGGTAATTCTATTTTTAGTTTTTTGAGGCATCTCCACAGAGTTTTCCATAAAACTAATAGAATAGATGATCCAGCAATCACACTCCTGGGTATATATCCTAAGGATTTGAAATCAGCATGTAGAAGAGATATTTCCATTCTCATGTTCATTGCAGTGTTATTCACAGTAGTCAAGATATGGAATCAATCTATGTCCATGGATGGATGAATGGATAAAGAGATGTGATATATTTGCACAATGAAATACTATTCAGCCTTAAAAAGAAAGGAAACTTTGACATTTGTGACAACATGGATGAACTCAGAACATTATGCTAAGTGAAATAGGCACAGAAGACAAATGTGACATGTTTTCACTTATGTGTGGAGTTGAAATCAATCAAATTCACAGGAGCAGAGAACAGTGGTCACCAGAGGCGAGGGAGTGGGAGAAATAAAAAGATGTTGGTGAAAAGGCGCAATGCGTCAGTTAGGAGGAATAAATAAGTATTTGAAAAACAAAACCAAAAACCAAAAACCTCTTTGATGCTTAACAAATCAGACCATTCTAAGTTTAATTATTTGCCTAAAAATTTGCTATTTTAATAAAAATTGATTTAAAAAGTGTGATCTTTGCTTTCCAAACATATACATATTTTTTTTAATTGTTGAGACTTCTTTGGTCCACCAGTTTGGTCAATTATTCTTTTTTAAATATTTCGAGTATGTTTAAAAAGCGTAGGTATTTTCTGCTTGTTGGATGTATAATTCTTTATATATATTTTAGATCGAGTTGTTAATTATATTGAAAAGAGAGGCGATATAACAATAGTTAAGAAATTTGAGACCAGCCTGGGCAACATGGCTAAACTCTATCTCTATAAAAAATACAAATTAGCCAGGCGTAGTGGCAGGCATCTGTAGTCTCAGCTACTTGGGAGGCTGAGGCAGGAGAATTGCTTGAGCCTAGGAGGCAGAGGTTGCAGTGAGCTGCGATTGTGACATTGCACTCCAGCCTGGGAGACAAAGGGGGACCCTGTCTCAAAAAATAATAAAATATAAAAGAAAACAATAGTTAAGAACATAGGTTATGGAGTAGACTGAGTTGGTTTTTTTTTTTTTTTTTTTTTTTGAGACGGAGTTTCGCTCTTGTTACCCATGCTGGAGTGCAATGGTGCAGTCTCGGCTCACTGCAGCCTCCGCCTCCTGGGTTCAGGCAATTCTCCTGCCTCAGCCTCCTGAGTAGCTGGGATTATAGGCACGCACCACCATGCCCAGCTAAATTTTTGTATTTTTTAATAGAGACGGGGTTTCACCATGTTGACCATGTTGGTCTCGATCTCTCGACCTTGTGATCCACCCACCTCGGCCTCCCAAAGTGCTGGGATTACAGGCTTGAGCCACCGCACCCGGCCTTAGACTGAGTTTTAATCCTTGCTCTGCT